ACACATTTTCAACTGCTGAGTAACATAAATTCTGTTCGGCCAATCAGAGGTTTGGGGGAAGTGTTAGAATGATTGGAGGTGATTTAAGTGACCTTAAAGTGGCCAAGATTCGCTTTGCATTCACTTAGTGGCTTTTGAGCCACATGAGCTCAAGAAACACTGAGGTGCCACAGTCTGAGTATTTCCCTCCATATCTTACAACACTATCACTGCTGATCCACTGGGATTTTCCCACACAAACATCTCTAGGGTTTACAGAGAGTAGCCTGAAAAAGAGAAAATATCCAGTGAGTGGCAGTTCTCTGAGTGCAAATGCCTAATTGTTCCCAGAGGGAGAATGGCCAAACTGCCTCCAGCTGACAGGAAGGAAGCAATAAGTCAACAAACCACTTTTTAAAATGAAAATATGCAAAGTAATAAATATGATAGCCTTATAAATAAATATATAGAAAACCATTTTTTTCTGGCACACTTTGGATCCCTTAGTACCACCTGAGCAATATTTAAACATCATAGCCTGCCTAACTATTGTTACTGACCATGTCCATCTCTTTATGACCACAGTGTACCCATCTTCTGATGGCTGCTTCTAGCAGGATAATGCACTATGTCACAAAACTCAAATTATTTCAAACTGCCTTCTTCAACATGACAACAATTCACAATTGATTTCACAACGATTTCACAACTGGCCTCCACAGTCACCAGATCTCAATCCAACAGAGCACTTTTTGGGATGTGGTGGAACAGATTTGTAGTGCAGCTGACACATCTGCAGCAACTACGTGATGCTGTTATGTCAACATGGACGAAGATATCTGAGTAATGTTTCCAAAACCTTGTGGAATCTATGCCACAAAAACCTGGAGCAGTTCTAAAGGCAAACAAAAGACTAATCCAGAAGTGTAATGTAAGTGTAAATAAATGCTAAATCTTTCCAGTAACTGTTGAGATTATTTACTTTTGATGAGAATAGCTTAATGACACAATTTCAAACATTGGACTTTGAGTTTCAGAAAGTTTTTTCTACTCTTGACTCTGTATGATATCAGTGAGATCAGATGTCCATAAACAGTCACGCTGGTCTGGTTTTGACAGCAATCCTACCGACATCTTGTTTAAACCTTCTGTATGTGTAAGGTAATCATTTGGTAGAAAGTTTGCATGAAAGGGGTGGACTTAAAGAGATAGAGAATAAAATGGCTTGTTTCCCACAGTGGAAACAAGGCGCAGTATAAGATAAATGAGGATACTTCAAGAAAACACTTGGAATAGTTTTCAGCACTGAAACAAAAACTTGGTTCTTTGTAACATAATCTGAAATCCTGGGATCAACAAAGTATATATATGTCTTTCTCTATCTTACTTGTATATTTTCAGATATCTCTTGTAGTCTTCAGTGGTGCACTGCTGGCTGTAGGAGGATCTGATGGTTTCACCCATCTGAAAACAACAGAAGTTTACAGCCATGAAAACAACACATGGAGGTAAGAGGAGAACTGAATTTGTGACAAAACTAATACAAAATGATTGCTACAAGCATCAAATGATGCCATAAGCCCTGACATAATTTTGTTTTGATTCCCTGTTAATTACATTTGCAGGAAACATGAAAGCCATAATGTAAACAAGCTATGAACTGAATCACTATTCAATGACATCAATTAGTAGTAGAGAGCTATAAAGAGGAAATGTATTTACATTTAAACATCATGAAGGGCACAACAGGCCACGAATGCATTAGCATAAAACATCAAATATGTTGTATAAGATATATTGATACAATACATTATATTAATATTTTCCCGGAGGATTATTGTTTACACTTTGTTGGTAATATGGGAGAAGGATTAACTAATCAAAATAATTTTATGTTTAACTGGATTGTTCGAATCATTTATGTTTAGTAAATGTAATTACACTGGATGTGCCAGGTTCAGATAATGGTGTTAAAGGGAAAAATACAGACTCTTACTTTGGTAAAAATCAAGACACAAAAAAGAGGAGAGATGTCTCTTCCAAAATGAGTTAAAATTCACCATTACATTGATTAATGTTAAAGAAAGTGTATGCAGGATGAAAATATTATAAGCGAGACAAATATATAGTCTCTTTGTGATTCATGCACTGTGCTCATGTATGGCTCCTATATATTTTATATGCCTTCAGGCTGCAAGCTGAATCTGGGTGCTTCACTGTCTGAGCATGTTTCCCTTTCCATCTGTTTTTAGACACTTTGGAAGCATGAAGAGTAAGCATCCAGGTGGGAGAGTGGCTGCGCTGTGCTGAGACTCAACAATACTCATATTATATGAGCAGGACAGAAGTGTTAGAGAAAAATAGCCTAATGGATGTAGGCTCAGGGACACATTGCAATATGGTTCAAGTAAAGGCAGTACAATAAATAAATAATGGAGGAGTTCGCTACAAAATGAGACATAGCTGCATTAGTACATGGTGACAGCTAACTAAAATTAAAGCACATCACATGCTACCCAGTTTTGATCTTTTATGTCTGTTGTCTAGAAATTATAAACAGATGAAACTGTAGAAAGCAGATTTCAAGAATAGGTTAACTTTTGGATTGACAGACTTAAAATGTAGATTTTATACAATTCTGAAAAAGAAAAAGCAATCAAGTAAAAATGAGACAATCACAAAAATGCTCATAATATGAAAAAGTGAATCAGTGTTTCAAGGGATAGCACCATTTAAGATGATTTCATTTTAACTCATGAGCTTGCTAATTAAATATTAATGTGGAGTAACAGGTGTTAGTCATGGATAAATCATAGCTAAGGCACGGATTTGGAGGTAAAAACATAGCAAGCGCATATTGTTAGTCTTACAATGAGGCATGGTTCATGTGAAGTGTGTTAAAAGTAACCAATCACAGCTCCTTTCTGAGTTATTTCAATAAGCTGGAGACATCTTTGAAATTTATGTAGACGTTAATCATATCACTGAATTTTTGCAAGTGGCTCAGTCTATTCAAAGTATGCGGGAAATGACTGTAAATGACCCACAGCAGTGACTGTAAATAAAGTGCTTCACCATATTTAATCATTGAGCTTGTGTAAACATCCACTGATAGGAAGGGTAAGTGCCTGCTGCGGTGTAAACCAACAAAATTAGACAAATCAAGTGGAGAAGAAAATCTGTGGGAATCAAGATCCTTAGCGAGACTAGTGAGTGAGTGAGTGAGATCTGACTGCTGGCATGGGAAAGCATAAGAGGCTGTGTGGGCTTTAAAACGATGACGCTCAGAGCTCTTTCCCCTGGAGAATAATGGGCTGAAATGTGGAGAGGCTCAGCACAAGGAACGCACACAGAGTAGCGCGGCTTTTCCACAGACACACAGGAACCAGCGGTGTCTCCCCAGTCGTGCCACTGTGCACACAGAATGAATATTTTCTTCAATGTGAGGGGGACAGTTGTGAGGCAAATAGCAGAGGACAGAGCAGCTGTTACAGGTATGGTTTAACAGAAATACATATATACATTTATGTATGTAATTTTTCCCTGTGTGTTGTAGGAAGATATTGCAAGTGTAAGTTGCCAAGACTCTACACGTGCTGTGTATATGCTCCATAAAATGTTGCTGGATATTGATAATTATAAGGATCAACAAATAACTTAATAATTTTGGGGACTGTTGTGATGTTTTGGTCTTTTCCTGACCAGTATGCAGCTAAGAGTAAAGCTCCCCCCACATGCAATTAATCGTGTGGTAGTGGAAATATAATAGTAGAAGAATAGTTGCACTTTAATGCACTTTTTTTCTCCAAACAAACGTGTTTGGATATATAGGTACATCTGTCACTACCCATTAAATACCACTTCTTAAAAATAAATAAATAAGAGCCAGTCTTTTGCCTTGACATAACTTTGAAAGAATTCTGCGCTGTCATGATTTGGGGTGGGAATAACCGTGACAGCGCAGAACTGCAGAATCTATTATTAGGTTTTTTTCATTTCACTAAAAGCTCTTTTTAAATTAGAAATTTCCTGTCAGCATTAAACGCTTCAGTTTCCTCGGCAGACGACGAATTATTCCAAGGTTGTCCGGTAGGTGGCGAGGCACCGGTGGTGACTTCAGGTTAGGAAATCAGCGCCCCTCACCCGCTGTGTCCTGGGAAGCAAGGATGAGGATGATGATGTTGTCCGGACAGCGTGGAAACCCAGTGGACAGCGCGCTTACTTGATGTTTTACTTCATATGCGTAAGCAGACGTTACATGGCAGGAGACAACAGCGAAGAGAAGCTGTACTTTGAGTGATTCCGAGGGCAAGGGTTGTTATATAACAGCAGCTGACAACGGTTACAGGGGACTGCGAGCTAATTAAAAAGACGAGCGCAAGTTTATCGTTAACTTAACGTCCGTCCTCCTTCCGCCACGAAATGTAGTTCGGCAACAGTGGCAAACAAAGTTGTTGCTAAGCGACAAGGAAGTCAGTCGGTTGTTTTTTGGGGGGTTTTTTTCGCCCATGAATATTTACGTTTAATGTCAGGTGTGCCATAATCGCGTACATGTGATAATGATAATGGCAGGAAGTTAGCAAGTCAGGCTTCGCGCTTTGCCGTCAGGAGACCCTTCTTTGGGTTGATGGGATTTAACTAAACCCCCAAAGCTCACTGTTGGATCCCTTTCTTCCCACCTCTGATCACAGGAGCTAACTTCCACCCCACAACTCTTGCAATTGTCACTTTCCAGTGATGACAGAGCTTTCGCGGGTACTCGTTGTTGGGAAGCATCCTGTGTCGCACACGCAGTGCAGTATGGAGAGCGAATGGAGATTATCTAAATCAAACCTAAGTTTACGATGCTGGGACCTCGGCCAGAAACGGGAGCACAGCCAGGTAAACGAAGTTAACAGGAAATCACGGGGTACAGATGCACCTATGTGTTTTAACGCGTATTAGTTCAGCGAATATCATCAAGTTTATTGTAAAGCTTTGGTGGCAGATGCTGTACCGTGAAGTAAGATTATTATTATTTTCTCTGTTATTTATATTGTGTTGCCATAACATCTGTGGTGGACATAAATGCAGATGTTTTGGTTGTCATGAAAATATCATGACTGCATTTCTGCGTTATGTATGTCTGTATTAATTGTATCTGTATTAAAGCTGAACCCTTGGTAATTGCAGTGAGGATGGGCTGATTCGCTGTGGTGGAGAGCATTTTTCTGCCATTGTTCATCACTGCAAATCAATACAGTTATCAGCTTTATATTGATGCTCAGTGGGCTCTTCCAGGATTCCATTACCTTCATTCATAGGGGCCACTGAATGCCTTGATTGAGTCAGAAAATAATGTGAGTTTGCTTTAGAATAGCATCATCAGCTGGGGAAATCTTGGTGTCCTGCCTCTCTGTGGAGGTTAAAAACGTTTGAAGAGTCAATTCTGATGGCTCAGTCATCCAACACCTTAATAAATACCCCCC